TGATAACTCACCTCAGCGTCGTCGGGCGGCAGATGCGTTTGGGGGACGAACCCCCCAATCCCTGCACTGCCTCGTCGGAACTAGGTTGTTTTGAGCCCACCCCTGCTCTTGGGCAGAGGGGCTCACCCCTGGTAGCTCCTGGGGCACATTGGCGGAATGCCTCGCTCCCCTTGGCGCTTGGGTCACAACGGCGGAGCTACCTGCCTCCGCTGGCACCTCGGGCATGAAAGCAGAGCTGCCCACCTCTGTTGGCTCCTAGGGCAGGCCAATGGTACGGCCCGTCTCTACTGGTTCCCTAGATGCGCCCTCCTCTCTATGAAATGGGAAGGGTCCTGATGCCTGCAAGGATGAACCAACGCCTGTCAGCGCATCTTCATTCTCCCGGTTGTCCCACTCGATATCGTTGGCTACCATTTCTTCTTCCTCCATCACCTCTTCATCGTCACCATCATCATCGTCATCGTCATCATCAGTGTCCTCCCCTCGTTCCTGCGCATGTAGCTTCCACTGCTTCTTCCTCTTCTTGTCTTCCTTCGCCTTCCTCATCCGCTCGCCCTCGGCATGATTCGCCACCCTCACGGTCAATCCCTCGGCAGTGGCGGTGGGTGATCCATGAGGATGAGGTCCCTCGACCGATCCCACCCCTCTCAAAGTTAGTCTCACGGGGTCAGGAAATCAATTAAAGAGAAGGCAAGAGAAAGGGAAACCTACGAAGACAACGTAGCCTGGCTCCGGCCGCATCAGAGGATGCCCTAGCACCAGTTAGACAAAGTCGAGGGCAGCACCCGCGTCATCCCGCAAAGGCTCCATCGCCTCCTTGATGCGTTGCACGATCTCAAAGTTGGGGAGCGTTCCCTAGGCGAGCGTCGTTCTGTCGAACGACGCATTGGGCGCCATCACGTATAGCGAGAGCGCGCGCATCATCAATGGTGCCACCCTCCTTGCGTGGTAAGCCCCGATGATGCTTGACCCTTTCAGGTCGTTCTCCTTTAGGATGTGGATGGCGGCGATGTGGTCTTGGATGTTCTTCTTGTCCTTCTTTGGGACGCCCCATTTTCTCCACTGCTCCTAGGGCCTCTTCGATCAGGCGCCCAGTGAACTCTAGTAGAGGGGCGGTGGCATCATTCTTGAGGTAGAACCACTGCGAGTGCCACCCCTTGTTGGACGTCGAGAGCCACATGGACGGGTACTCACCAACCCGATTGCTCCGAAGTTGGATGCTGGTGCACCCCATCGGCATGTGTAGCTCCTGCCTGCCGCCCTTCTCCCTCTTCTTCTAGAGGCTAACAGCGAAGAAATACCTCCACAAGTCGAAGTGGGGGTTGATCCCCAGGAATCCTTTGCATAGCGCGATGAATGCCGCCATGTGCTGGATCCCATTAGGATTGAGATGCTGCAGCTCAATCTTGTAGAAGTGCAGCAGTCCCAAAGGAATTTGTGGGCGGGGGTCGCGAGCCCACGCTCGTAGAAGTGGGCGAACGACACCATGTAGCCGTCGGGCAACGACAACAAATCCTCATCGCTGGACAGCAGCCACTCCTCGGTCGAGGTCCACGCGCGGAGAAGACCGTGATGGATGAGGCCCTCCATGCGCTGGAAGGTGATGTCGGAACGACATCATGGATCCATTGGAGGTGAGGGCGGATGGATGCGAGCTCAACATCGGCGGAGATATGGAGGCAGGAAACCTAAGCATTGGCGGCGACGGCGTGGCTGCAGAGGTAAGGATGCAGGCGTGCATATGAAACACGGAGGGCTAACCTTTTGGTTTTATAGGGGCGACGGGTGTGAGGAAACCGACCGACCACCTAGATCTCTGCACCTGCCATGACTTGTCACCACGTCTCATCACAGGGCGTGCGCACGCAACCTATGGCCGTCCCCTCGGAAAATGCGCCGGACGTTTCGTATCCCCAAATGGGACACGACCCATCACAGGTAGGAGGGATACAGAGCTGAAGATGCTCCTACAGCTCGTCTAGGCCAAGGAGTTCGAAGGTTGGCCCACCGACGGGTTCGACAACCGCTCCGGGCACCTTTAGAGTGAGGGGTGGAAAGGGATGGGCCCGCTAGTAGCTAGTACCCGTCCGCACAAGCGCCGCGGGCATCCTAGCCCACATTTGAGTCTCGGCCGGATACGATCCATGGTTTTCCTCAAAGAAAGGCAGAGAGCCCTCGGGACTGGTCGAACGGACCCGAGAACTATATGGATTGACCGCTGAGAATCTGGAGTCGGTCACCAGCTGACCCAAGCTGGACCCCCGCGAACGGGATGTCGGGGCCCCACTCGGACTAGCCCGTTAACAGCTCACCAAGCGTAATGATTCGTCCATAGAGGAAAATCGTGGCACAGCTCAGCCCCTCCGTTTTTATCGAAAAAAGCGCTTGAGGGAAGACGATCACAAAGACGAGCTGACCCTAGACCGGACCCCTGCTATAGGTGAGGTCTCAAGGAAAGTTGGACTCGCAAGGTGACCGAACGCGTGGTCGTAGAATGACAAACCCCCGTAGGGGTCGGAATCAGGGAAGACCTTTTTCGACCCACCAAATCTCACCGCTATACCCCCGAGGGGTCCGATCACGACGAAAGGGAATCGCCATCCCTAGGACACGCCGTAGGTGACAAAAGAAGGCCAAGGCCCTCAGAGTCCTCCCGTTAGGAAAAGCCTCTAAAGTAGTATTTTACTCCTCAGCAGGCTCAGGGGCTACTGTCGGAGATCAATACTAAGGTACCCGAAGAGGAGGAGCCAATGGTCATCAACATTGATTCATCCGAGCAGTTAAGAGCGCGACTACAGCTCTAATCGACCCCTAGGTGCGCGAACTCCATTTCGCCCGACCTCTAGGGGCGGGCTCCGTCTCGCCCGACCCCGAGGCCGCGGGCTCCGCCTTGCCCGACCCCTTGGGTGCGGGCTCCGCCTCGTCCAACCCCGAGGCCACGGGCTCCGTCTCATCCGACCCCTTGGGTTCGTGCTCCGTCTTGCCCGACAGGGACCCATACCGCTGCCAATGACTCCAGGTCCAAGCGTATGGGCCTGGGTCAAAACTCTGACACCAGGGAAGAGACTGACACGCCTCGATGTAACCCATGGCCATAACGAGCCATACCTGATGGTTCACATCAAGAACAACGTTGGGCGTGCCGGTGCTGTTCTGCCTAACCCTCGTACGAATGATGACAGGCACGTCAGTTCACCACGATGTCCGTCGGGACAGGATGGAACGTCATGACCAGCAGACGATGTCTGCGCATGGCGCCAGTAACGGATAGGGTCACGACATGGAGCTGTCCCTATTAACATCTACATGATCGGCGGGACCCACATGAAGGAGAAGAAAGACCCAGCGATCCTGAAGGTCTTCTTCTCTCTCTTGTTCTTCTTTTTTCCTCTGCTATAACCCACGTTTTTCCTTGGCCTATAAAAAAAGTTGGGCGTCCTACGAAGGGGATCCGATTCATGACCGATTGACTCATCGAGACCCGATCGATCCAGGTCCGCACGAGATCAGAATACGAGATAAACACACAAGAACACGACACGAGCACACGACTGAGTAGCGACCGAGCTCTCAGCATCCGTTCACTCCTTCTACGAGAGACTTGAGATCATTTCCCTCTCTCGCCCGTTTATAACCCATATTACAAACTTTCAGTGCTAGTAACACGAGCAGCAGCGACGAGCTGGACGTAGGGAGTTTTCTGCCCGAACCAGTATAAACCTCGTGTCCTTTAAACACACCATCCAAGCTAAACGCACAATACTAAAAATTTAGTCGTCGGTTGTAACTCGAAACACCAACACTTACTCACTCAACGTAGTAATAAAACTGTAGTGCTTGCTTTCTTTTTTAAAAAATAAAAATGCTTGCTTTCTCCTTAGCTTGCTTGGTCCAAAACAACCACGGTCCGCACCAAACCAACCCCAGCTGCCTCTACGCTGATTCTGCATCGCGATCTAAACTATAGGAGCTGCTTCGACCCTCACAACTGACCCCAACCAACTTCTAGAGATTAGTGAATTTGAAGGATGAGATTGCTGAAGGTTTAGGACTAGCTGGATCTAAGTTTCTAAGGGAGAACGACGCCTCGCATCCGATCGGCTCGCTGGATAAGGATGTGTAGCGGTGCCCCCGACTCTGGGTCACATTCAACCTCCCCACTTACCCCCGACAAGGATGCTCACTTGGACGTGCCCTCACTCAGAGATGACCCCGAGATTCCAGGTACCGTTTGCACTACATGCAAAAAAAAGGACGGAACCACCCATGCGTGATTGAGCTTCATCGATTCCGTGTACAACTCGATCGGATGGAAAGTCCGACACTGCCCACATATGCCAAAAACCTCGTGTAGAGCGAGACATCGAATGGGAACTTGTAGCTCCTGCTCTTCGATCTCTGCACGCCTGCGCGGAACTCACTCTTATCTCTGGGCAACAGCAGAAGAGAGGACGCCCTGCTCGAGCTTCGGAGCTTGTCTACATTGCCGCCCACTACTGAGATCGACATGGAGAGGAGGATGAGTGTTCATGTCCCAACGAGAGGAGGGAGACAACACCTCGATTTTCAAGTGGCGAACCACGGAATACTCAACCCGTCCATCGGGTTTTAACATTTACAATTGTCGATACGCATACGCAAAATGATTAGTATATGTTCCCACTTCCCAGGCCTTAAACAAGGGCTACAACCGCTACACTCTGCAAAAAGAGCGTATGGCGAGGACGACAGACGCCCTGCACGGCTGAAATCCTTTGCATCTAACGAGCAGAGCTGAACCGATGGCCAAGAGTGCATCGGTCATCGTAACCAGATCCCAGAGGCAGCACCAGATTAGCAAAACACGGAAATTTTAGTAATATATAGGATGACAGATAGAGTTGATCCAAACCAGGTAACGAAAATACAAAGGTTCATAAAAGGTTTGCTGCAACTTCCAGGGCAGCTTATTAGTACAGTACATACTAGCAGTACCAAGGTCCAAGGAACAGCATGCCAGGCTATGCATCTTGCGCCCGAACGCTGGACTTCCTGGCAAGCGGCTCTTCCCATACCAAAGTTACACGATCCATCGATGTAATACCATTGTAGGTTCTTGTTTTGTAGACACACACGCACCCGGTCTGTATGACAGACCCATCCTTGATGGTTGCATTCTTCAAGATCACCACAATTCCAGACCTTATGTAGTACCCTTCCTCAGGGTGATCAGCCTCTTGGAAGCCCTGTCACAAAGAGTGGAACAACCCATGGTCACAACACCAGCGTTGGAATGGATAGTAGATGAGCACACAAGTTTCTGCACCCATGTAGGTGCGCTGCGCTCACCTTACTGTTTGTGATCACCACGTTCTTCCCAATCCTAGCATTGATGTCAATGATACAGTTCCTGAAAATCATCAGAGGATACCATCAGGTGTCAGTGAGTGTGATATTTGGGAACTACCGGTGGTTATACATATACAATGTTGTCCCACGTCCAATACTCACCTTATCTTTGTGTTCCTTCCTATTCCAACTGGGACCTTCCCAGCTAACAGTAGCTTTGATGTTTCTTCTTCAGTTTCATAGATATCCGCTCCCATCATCACACAGTCCTGTTGTTATCAGAAAGTGCAATAACAAAATGAATCGCCACCGATTTGCAACAGTACCAACAAACAAAATAAACTCTAGATCTGGGTTCAATATTCTTGTTGTATTCATGTCGTGGTAATCTGGGCCTCTGGGCTTGGGTGGGATGTACAGCAACAACAAGAATTGAGGTGTTCACGTGCTAAACAGATTGAATATTATATCAATACTAGAAGCTGGAGGAATCTTCAGTTTTAAGAAAAACACAAAAAGGATTTTGATGAACCTGTCTGGGGTCCAAATCTTATATGAAACCACTTCTGTGTGATTTTGTGAACCCTGGTGTTGAAATGGTATACTAAAGAGTAGATTGCAGTTGCACTGATTGTGGTGACTCGAATCAAATTTGATGCAAGAGAATGTATAAAACATCAGCATACACATTGGCAGAGATGTACATTGAGTTCACATCCATAGCTGACACGTGAGCAGACTCCAATCACAGAATGCTCGATGCTGCATTCTCTCAGTAAGCAACCATCTGAGATAGATGCATCTTTGAACTGCGGAGGACAAAAACAAGCCTTCAAGTATGCGAAACTCCTGCTCTGAGGTAACAATTGTGCTCCATAAGACCTATACCTTGCACTTGTCCAATTGCGTCGGAGGCAAGTACCAGGGTGCAGTGAAGAAAGGTATTTTTGGATCATAAAAATCAAACTTGGAAAGCTGAAGAGAGAAACATATTAGGTGAATTTGTGTTTAGATTCTAGTTAAATGATAAGTTAACTGAAGAACAATAGAATGGAACTAAGATGTTCTGACACACTTTCTATGCATTGAATTTCAGGTAATATATATGCAGTACAGAATACATATATGACAGAATACCTGCTCAGTAAGGGCCAAGTTTGCATCAAAGAATGATTTGATTGTTCCAACATCCTCCCAATAGCCCATGAAAATGCATGCCTAACATAATATGTAAAGTGTATTGTTAGTCTGTATGATGCATGGAAGCGAAAATACATAAATCGTGAATTGGTAAATAAAAGCAAGTGGAAACTGGAAAGAAAAACGACTTTTTGACATGAAGACTTTACAGTTTACAGAACACATACTCCAAACAGATCAGACTTACCTGCCAGTGGTGGACCCAGGATCTGAGACCAGGGTAGTCCTAGTAAAAAAAAATTCATGTGTAATACTATAAAATCCAAACAAAAAGTTCGGCAAACATAGCTATAAATTAACCAAATTACGATAATACATTTAAAAGGTTCGAAACTTACATAAATAGGTCCGAAACTTACTCAAATAGATCATACATAAGATAAGGTCTTACAAAAAAAAAAGAAACTACAATTGCAGATGTGTCATTCATAATTGAAGGATCAGCACAATACAGATATAAGCACCACGCATCATATGCAATCATGCAGGCAGAAGTTTTTGCCCAAACAACATTTTTCATGTGTAAAAAAATACAGTAGTATCCTTGTGCACAACAAATTATATGTGAAAATGGTTTACACCTGAAAAATACTACCAAACAGGACCTAAGTGGATATGGGAATTGGGAACAGAACTACAGAAGCACCTACCAGTGACTAGTTACTCAGTCAGCCACCAGGGGTAGGGCAGGGGCCCGTTGGCTGGGGCCAGGCGGCCAGCCGGCCAGGGCGGTGCAGTGGATGGCAAGCGGCCGCCGTGGGGCGCTAGCGGGCGGCGGCTAGACGCGTCCGGCGCCAGCCGCCGGTGGACTAGCGGAGCCAGTGGGGCCGCGGGTGTGGGGCGAGCAGGGGTGGACCGGCTGGCGAGGTGGGGCAGGCGTTCGCGCCGGTGGCGGGCAGCCGGGAGGGGCGGCGAGCGGCTGGGGCGGTCGCTCGTACCCACGTCGCGTCGGGGTCAGGGGGCGAGGAATGCGGACTCGCGGTGTCTTCCGCCTGGGCTGAGACGAGAGTGACCGGGGGAAGCTGGAAGGAGAGCGCTTGGGCCAATTTTTCTTGGTTTCTGAAGAGAAGTAATAGAATTTTGGGCCAAATTTGTGGGCAGTCCAGGGCCTACCCACTGGGCCCGCCACTGTTACCTGCACACTATGATCTACTACAGCTCTTGGGAGGATTTCAGATTCAAAGTCATGTAATTGAGCATATTTTGACCTAAGAATTGACACTGTTAGAAGGTAAACTAGGACTTGGACAGAAATAAATCACAGGAAAGTGATTACTTGAGAAGGTCTAAAAGTGCATCTTTCTTGAAGACATAAATGCCCATTGATGCGATGTACGGATATTTCTGTGCATCAGCTATAGCATAGCTGAGGAAGTTGGTATCAACTCTCTGCAACATCAGTAGCTATTAGCTTTGGTGTCAGATTCTACAGCAAAATAGATAATCATTTCTGAATAAGCCAGGTATAGATGATCCATGGAAAGAACTAAAAGAAGGGTTCATCTCAAGAAACAAAGGAACACAAAAGAACTGGATTACACAAGGAATTTCTAACCATAGAAATCAAATCAGCACCCTTTGGTTTCTCAAAAAATTGAAGTACACGTCCAGTATGATCAAACTTCACTAGCCCATTGTTAGAAGCTCGACTTCCCAAAGGAAAAAAGGAAAGCAGATTAGACCATGTGCATCTTGTGTTGGATAACTAGATGACATATTCATATTACGATGATATAAACAATTGATTTACCTCTCACACATGATATAGTGATGTCAGCATTGTCCTCGACATGTTTCTGGAAATAATGCATGCCAAAAATAGTTGGTTAATCCAAAATCATGACATATGTGAAACATGACAGGAGAACACCATACCTGCACAAGTTCCATGTAATTCATCGGATAAAGCTGATCGCCACTCAAGATTACAATGTGCTCAATAGATTTGTGACTGTAATAATCCTAAATAAGTACAGGAGAACCCAAAATTACAAAGAGACAGTGCTACAAGAATGAGTGAATGGTCATCCATAAACGAGAAAATATCAACTACCTCGAGTACCCAGATAAATTTTCTGATAGAGTCTGCTGTACCCTGGAACCATCCAGCAGGCTCTTCGGGCATTTGTGTAGCCGCTAATACCTGCATGTTGGAACAATTAGTTTTTCAATTAATCACTTGTACGGAACTACGGATCAATAATTCGCCCCATTCAATGGAACATTAAGGCAAAGTAATGACGTAAATGGTAGAAGTCTATAGTGTTTTGAACCACAATACCTTTGGATCTAAACTTCTATAGAAAAATCTTGGCATCTCTTTATTATTCTCTCCACACAAAGTTACTCCTACTTACACATCAACAAGATGAGGTAAACTACCTGTACAGATCCATCAGCAAAGTTGATCCCGCCTCCAAGGTATGTACGATGAATATGGCGGTTAAGCGAAGTAGAATTGAACTGACTCATCACAAATATCTTATTTATACCACTGTTGAAGCAGTTACTCATAGGGATATCGATAAGCCTGTAACATCCTCCAACAGGAACCTAAGTAGTGCACCAGATAAAAAAAAATGTATGAAAGTGACGACTTTACGAACATCTGGACCAAAAAAACTTCTAAGAAATTTTGACTGAAAGTCTCCCAAAAAAAATATTTTTTTAACTGGCTGTCTTACATACCACTTCAATTATGGTTCAATTGTGTACCTTGAAAATGAGAAGAATCCACTAAATATTGTAGAAAACTAAGATAAATTCGAAATGTACAGTCTGTATAATACTATAATAGAGTAATCAACGTTGGATGTTCAGTGTTATCTCTTACAGCAGGCGTAGCTCCGCCCAAAATGATAGCAGATACACGGTTTGCATCAGCATAACTTTTTCTAGAGGACTGTGTTTGAAAATGCTGCAAATATGGGGCCCAGAGTTAGATTACTTAATCCTAGATAAGTACACAAGTAGTACATTTATACATGCCATTAAACAACAATTCAGGAAAGACTACAGTGGTGAGTGGTCTAAGAGTTGTTTTTTTTAATACAACTAAGAGTTGCAGTTATATATGTAATGCGAAGTAGAAAAAGCTATTATAAGATATCATAGCAATGATTTGTTATAATCATGCAGCAACTCTAAGGTCTATTTCCATAAGTTATTCGTGCAATAACCAAGAATTCCCTTTTCCTGAATGCAGTGAAGCCACAGTTCCCAGATTTCATACAATTAAGATGACCCTATTTGAACAAATCTTTACAATAATCAGTCCAACAGAAGTATAGTAGAACTCCCTCGAAACACAAAAAGTACAGTAAATTTCCCTTGAAAAGACAAATGTACAGTAAACCACCATGTAAGATTAAAAATTGAGTTGGATACTTACAAGAGTTTCAGGACAAGCATCTGAGGTAAGAATACATTGTGTAGTTGCAGCAACTCTACCACCAAAGCACCTATTCCTCAAAGCTTTCTCCTGCTTGCTGCCCCTAATACTTAATCGTTCTGACCTGTCAATCCCACCACCCTCACAAGATCTTATCGGGTGAGGACCTGAGTTCGCATCCAATGCTAGTGCAAACTGCATATCTCCTCCAACTACTAGACACACCTGCAACTCAAATAAATGAGTAGCAATTCTTTTACAGCAAGGGAACATGTACTATGAATTGAACATTGAAGTAATATATGTTTGCGCTACAATATGACATCTTATGACCAAACCGAGATTTACCACTTCCATAAAACTGGACTCATGAAGAATGCTCCTCAAGCAAAATAACCAAAGCAGATCTCCTTCCCCCCATGGACAAAAATCGCATGCCAATAAAACGCTTTTAGAATGAAAAACAGAACTTTTGATGCAACTAGGCATATACCTTGCAGTATATTGTTGGCAAGAATGGAGCAATTCTATACAAAGCAACCTGTATAACGTCAGATGCATTTGCAGAGTGCATAGATGATAGCATCTCACCCTCTTTCCACTAATACTTCCCAATTACGAATTAAGCTAACAAATAAAGATGGCAAGGGAATGTATACTTACAACAGAACACGAAGGTGGCTGCGAGATCGAAATCGCACTTGCCTCCCCAAGTGTTCTTGTGGCTCCAATTGCTGCTTGTGTCTAATTGCGGTGCTGTTGATGTGCTTATATAGAGTGGGAGGAGGGCATACAGGTGGTGATGAACTGTGCAAAGACTTCAACAACCGTGAAAAAGCCTGGATGCTTTGGCATTATGTCCACGTACAGAAATGAAAAGGAGTTCACATTTCTTGCAAGTGTAAGTACCATGAAAGAAGCTAGAAGCTTTTGGTTTTATGTCCACGCACAGAAACAAAGGTTCACATTTCTCGCAAGTAATCGACAGACTCACACAGCCAACCATCATTAGCATTCCAATTTTGCCCTTGGCCTTTGGTATAAACATAATAGAAGCCATTAATTAATTTTGAAAAATACTCTCATAGGTTCCTACTTCCTTTTTGAAATTCACATTTAATGAAGATGCATTGGTACTGTGCACGAGCTCCCTAGGTGCAGGACATATTTTTCAAACAATAAATAACTAAAGAGTAGGAAGATGATCTGCTGGCCAATTAATAGATGTGCATATTGGTATGGCTATGGGTGTTTATAAACTCTTAATGATTTTTATGAGCAGAAAGGGCAAGAAAATAAACAGAAACGAGAGAGAGGTGATGGTGGGTGCCTGGGTGGAGATGCCATCATAAAACAGACAATTGTATGTTGAAGCTGTTTCTCAGTAAATAACTTTGGCGTGTGGCTTTCCCCTCAACGGACATCTATAGATGACACTTCCAAAATGCACAGACGTGGTTTGTACCTTTCTGTAACCCGTTCATAGTTTTAGACACCTTTCTTCCAGAAGAATTTGCGTGCAAACAACATATTGAAGGTGTTTGAGTTGGCAACATTTCCCACGGTACACATGAAACCTTTCAGAAATAACCTTTTTTTTTTGAGCTGTCACTAATGCTTGTAAGCTAGTAGTTTCCACAAACGTTCACGCAAGATAAACTAACAGAGAGCGATATTGGTTTCAGATAATGCCAAAGTGCCTTTGAGGACATACGCTGCATAGCTCTCCCTCTTATGATTACCATTTTCCAGATTACCTTCCATCCCCAGGGAAAAAAAACATCAGATACTCCCTCCGGTTGTAGATGTATCCATGTAGGTTGTTTTCAGGGGCGGAGGAGAGGAGAGGCCAAGGGGAGCAAAAAAACCTATGCTAGGTGCACCCCTCTTAGGTATTTCACCACATTATTTGTTGAACAAAAATGATTTTGCACCCTCAATAGTTCAACCACCACCCCTCATGAAAATTTCTGTCTCCCCCCCCGTCCCCACCCCCACCCCCTCCTGGTTGTTTTAACTTGTTCAACTATTCTCTAAATGTAAATCATTCCAGAACCTATATGCATCTTTTCTTTCTCCTTGGCCATGCTACCACTCACAGATAAATGAATTATCTTTCCCAATGCAGTATAAATAAAAAGGGCAAAGCAATATGGTCATTTAATCTGCTTTCTTAATCCTTAAGCACAAGTCTGAACAACTTACATTTGCACCCAGAGTGAGTATTTAAGTTAAAAGAAAAACAATGCACATGAGAAACTTCAAGAGCTTAACTCATTATCTAAACACTACGGCTAGGTCACGCATGCAATTCTCCTAAAAACCAGAATCACAGCAGGAACTATATATCCTTTTCAAAGGAGAATTGGAATGTCCAAAAGAAACTGTTTTCATTAGACATTGAAATGTAGCATTAATTATTCCACATTCTCGTAGACTTAAATTTAAGATAGTGATTTTCCCAATCTACAGTGGTTCTTGTAATATGAAAAAAAATTATAAGCAGAAGGATAAGTTTTCCCTATGCAGAGTTATTATTGAGATTATATTTTACATTTTTTGTCAAGGTAACTCCCAAAAGAGCCACTTTTTATTGCTTACAGAAGGAAATGCAGATCAAATTTTTACAACATGATATAGTTTTTTAAGCATTTGGGTCTTTTATAGAATGTCACACAATCTGAAAATACTAGGTAGTCTATTAGAATACATGCTTCTTATAAACGTCCATATCCCTTTTATTTTCTCCTAGGCTTCGGTTATCCCTGCACTGCTGTTCAACTTCAAGTTATGTTGTATGGGTTTACAGGCACCAAAGAATGGATCCAAAAACAAGAAGTAAATAGTGCAAGATGCCTGGCAGGATAAAACTATAGTGCATTTGTGATGCAACTGATATGAGTTATTGTTATCTACTATGGTGTAATAAACTTAACTTTTTTTACCCTTTCCGTATACAAGCGTGGCATGGCCCTATTAAAAAATGTCTAATTATCTCATAGGAATCACTGAATCGTACATTGGCATCCTATCTTAATGCATTTTCATCCATTACAAGAAAAATAGCAATGCTGTATACACAAATTGTCCAAGATACAATGCCTAGTGTGTGTAAGGTTTGATGGTTGGATACTTCGTGCTGTATGGATAAAATAGAAAGTAAAATTTAATCATGAATGCAATGTGTCATTTCACCCAATAATGTTTTTACCCTTTTCTACCAGCTAAACTACATCAGCGTAAGTGAGTTCCGTGTGAAATACAAATATAATTACTCCACACACCCAAACAGAAAAGAGAATTAGAAATTTGTTCTTATTTATGGTAAATGGGCTTCGCCCGAATACCATCAAACTTGTGGGCTTCGCGAGATCGCCCTAATGAAGGGTGCACAACCAGCTGAAATATCATTTCGGAATTTTGAGCCTCATTTAATCATTTTTGGCTAGAAAACTGACCTGAAGTTCCCGTTTTGCCTCCTGCCTCAAATCACCTCATCCTCTCCCTCCCGTTGCAGGGCGCCGCCGCTACCACCAACACCGCCACCCCGCCCTAACTCACAGCCCATAGGCCTCGCCTTCCGGCCCGCCCCCATCCCCGCCGCCCACTGGAGCAACCTCCCGGCACCGTAGTCTGTCATGCCGCTGCTGGCTGGCCTCGGCATCGGCGTGCGGATGTACGACGCCGACCCCACCGTGCTGCACGCGTTCGCCCGGGCCAGCTTCGAGGTCATCGTCAGCGTGCACAACGAGTGCCTGGATGCCGTAGCCGACACGGGCAGCGCAACGTAGTGGCTCGCCGCTCGCACGAAGATCGACGCCGGACATGAAGATCGTGTCCTTCCTGCCGGACATGCCGACGCAAACGGGGCTAGGGGCGGGCGAAGAGGCGGCGGCGGCGCGCCTAGGGGCAGCAGTGCAGGGGGGCGGGCCAGCGGCGGGGCTTCACGAGTTCGCGGCCCGCCTAGCAGTGGGTGGCGGTGTGTCACGTCGAGAGGGAGGGAGACGAACGGCGGAACGAGAATGAGCACGAGAACGAGGAAAGAAACAGGGTAGGTGATTCAAGAGTCAGGGGCAAAACGGAAACTTCATATCAGTTTTCTTGTCAAAAATAAATAAAATTGAGGCCTAAAATCCTCAAATGCCATTTCAGCAGTGTGCACGGCTGGTAGGGGTGATCCAGCACAGCTTGATACAGTAGCATTCGGCCAAAACTCACTTAACATCGTAAGGATAAATTTTCAATTTTCTTAACATAAAAGGAGGAAAGAAAAGATATAAGGACAAGTACTTTGCGCTAGCTCAACGGAGGTGTTTTCAATATAAGAGGTGGGAAGACATCTTTTGGATGGCCTCTGGAAAATGCCGAATCGAAACGCAGGCTGTGATAGCAACGACACTGCGCAAGATGCGGATGACACGACGATGAGGAGGTAGAATGCCATCAAAGTCAACACGGATAGCTTAGACAGTGGTCACGGGGGAGAGGCTTTAGAGGGGAGAACACCACCTCGCCATCAACCCCCCCCCGCTTGGCCGACAGTGACCTTGGAGCATCCATCCATGGAGAGGCAGTGGTTGGCGAGGTCTTTAGTGGTAGGGGTTAGAGAAGAAAGCAATGGTATGTGTGTGGTTTGGTAGGGAAATGTGGTGGGTCAATAGAAAATTCCAAGCTGGGCTAGCATGATCTTTGGTCTACAGAAGATATTTTGTTTTTAGACCCATATCATCACATCAAAGATTGTGTCCACAAGCTTTAGTTAAACATGTTGTATTCGCCATTGGCGCTGGATTGTTTGGAAATTCAACTGGCGGCAAGTTTACCATTGAGGTCCACTGATGTCTGCCTCAGTGCCTCTAGAAAACTAGCTCGGATCCTATATTTGGTGATTGGTAGTTGCAAACAACTTCTTTCAAGGTCATGAAGCTGAATGATATTATCGCATTATAGCAAAGGCAGAAAGAGAACGCATATTAGATAGCAATGAACTCTTACCTAAAATTAGGATAATGGGTGTAGAGATTCTACCAAAACCCAAGACTAAACTGAAGTAACTACTCTTGTTAGCTTTCTTCTATTAGTTCCACACCATACGAGCGAGGATGCAACTACCAACAGTTATACAATTCGTAAGTCAGATGCAAAGAACAGTATAGGGTTCCAACATGGCCGACTCACGAAAATGGCCGATTCACAAAATGCATTAACAAATCTTGGCAACAAACTAAATGGATTGTATTTAAGTTGTTCCTTATTATCCATAAAAAGTTTTAAAGTTTTTTTAAGCGTATCTTTATATCTTGCCAAACATTCTCATAAAGTGTTTTTGATTTATAATCCAAAACGTCTTTTTGAGAGAAATCTAGATCCAAAATATTACCAGGCGCATCCTTAACCTTTGCCACTCGACCTTTGTGGTCGCTGCTAAATGGAGGAGAAATTAGGCACTGGATTTTTCGTGGGCCGTCGCATTACCCACGTAGCCCAAAGCAAACCACAGACTTGAATGGAAAATATCGAGCCCAATAAGAAGAGAGAATCGACGAGCACCAGAGGATAACATTAGCGAGACGATAGATAAGACAGGCGAAGCGACTGTCGCGAGGCAAGGCCATCATCCGCCATGACGCTCTCCCTCTCCACCTCCTTCCTCCCCACCCCCGCCGCCGCGAGGACCACCGCCCGCACCCTACGCTCCGTCGTCCCCTCCCAGGTACGCACGCTCGCACACACCGGCCCCTCCCTCTCGCAATTCCTGCACGGATATCCATCCATCGGCGCCGCCGCCGCTAGCTAGCTAATTCCTGAGACCGACCGAAACCTGGGCGGCGGGCCCGCGGTGCAGGGGATGCGGTGCTCGATGCGGAAGAAGGGGCTGCACCCGGAGATCTACGAGGACGCGAAGGTGTACTGCAACGGCGAGCTGGTGCTGGTGACGGGGGGCACCAAGCCGGAGTACACGGTGGACGTGTGGTCCGGGAACCACCCCTACTACGTCGGCGACACCTCGGCGCTGGTGGTGATGGACAGCCAGATCGAGAAGTTCCGCAAGAAGTGGGGCCACGTCAAAGAGTACTGGCCCGAGGACCAGTGGAGGGAGATGCACCCGGACGGCGACCCGGAGTTCGAGCCCGAGGGGGACAATTGATTTTGATCCACGAAATTGGCTCCCGTCTTCCTCAGTCCTCACCCGGTTCGTGGTCACCGGTCCTGTTTACCTTTTTGTCCTCTTGATCTGTTTGCAGTGCTCTCTAGGTGTTCGGTTAATGTTCGGAATGGAAATATGCCATTGTTACGACTTTACGAGATATACTCCTATACTAGTGTAGTGTAATGCCTCTGCAATGCACTCTAGAGGATTGAGCAGCACGCTTCTGCAGTGCACTCTAGAGGATTGAGCAAACAAGCAAATGATCCTGGCTCGAGGAAATAGATATTTCTTAGGGCCTGTTTGGAATGCGGGATTTTTTTCCCATTCGTGCGTTGTTTCTGTGAAATTAAACTGATTCCTATAAAATTTCTGATTGATTGCTGTGAAATTCCTGCATTTCGAACATGCCCTTAGTGGGAAGTATATAAGCTAGTGCTTGCCCATCTACGAGTCGTCTGCCTAGACCGCATACTGTTTGATCAAACTAGCCTCCGGTTGCTAGGTGATCCAATTTCCGCATAGTGCTTGCCCATCTACGAGTCGTCTGCCTAGACCGCATACTGTTTGATCAAACTAGCCTCCGGTTGCTAGGTGATCCAATTTCCGAGTCATAGTTTTCTCCAACCAATTTCTGCCATGAGGTTGAAATTTGCCTGGTGAGCAAGAGCGACACCTTCAGTATCCCTTTTACACATGTTCTCCCGATATACTCAGCCCACGTATGGCATAACTATTCTGAAGAGAAAGAAATGGATTCAGCCCACAGGATTTCCATCAAAACGGGCTGGATCCAAAAGGGGGACCTAGGACAGGACACGGCCCAACCTTTGCTCGACTTAGGCCTCCAAGATTGGAGGATTTTTTCGTGTTCACTGCATTTTTTATGTGAAAAATGAACTGGCTGCTATGAAATTTCTTTACGATTCCCATAAAATTCCTGCGTTTCACTTGTTGTGCACTTGCACTGTTCATCGTCCTTTCTGAGGCCTTTGCTTGGATTATGAGCCCGGCCCTTATGCACAGTTTGGAATAAGTTTTTTTTTGTATCCACGTAAAAAAATCAGAAAAGATGACTCGGAAGAAAGCCAACCTCGGACAGGAACAGGAACTCGCGAGGGTGGTGAGGGGCCTCCGGACTAGGACTAAGTGATGTAAAGTCAGATCCAATTAGAGCCTAAAAGCCCAGAAGAAATTTGGCCACCTCACATAGGTAGCTGCCCTCACAGCCTGCAGGCTGTGTGTTCGTCGGCGTCGCCCACCGACTCCTAGTACAGTATCCTGATGCGCAGTAAACTCCTACTCCAGTTGAGTTGTTTTCAGCACGAGAGCCCAGAAGTCAAGACTACTCGGAACCGATCCATCCATCAATCAACCAACCGGCAACAAAATATCTACACGTTCGTTTGCTCATATACGATCGTGGATTATAAACTGTAACAGTATTTTTCTTCACACCAAATCAGCCAGCAATAAATAATCCACGATCGTTTACAACCTACCGAACAGGCTGTATATAGATGCGGCCCTCTAAACATAGGCAGCTCTAGGTTGCCCCCAAATTATTGGAGCCCTGAGCAGTGCTTCTGTGCCGTCACTGCCGTTGCATGGTGCACGGACGGCGCGGTCTGTCTGATCTCCGTGTTCAGAAAGAACGTTGCAACGGCGGCGAGGGAGCAACTGGTATGAAAATAGAACCGATATTTTCTGATATCTGTATGTATGAAGAGGTTAAAATACTAGATGGCTAACTCATGTATAAATTTGGACATTTAATATCTGTAACATATTCAAATTTGAATACTCAAAATTAGATTTCTCATGCACATGAAAAAACAACAACATGTATTTGTGTCTGCAATATATGTTCAATGCTATCCACGTTTGACTCAAATTTCAAAAAAAACCCAACTACATGTATTTGTGTTTGTAATATATGTTCATATAAGATTTGTTTTCATACCTATAACCATGGTCTCTAGGTTGGATGTTGTTGCCTATCGAAGGTTCTCAGGTCAGGGTCCGATTCAAACACCCACCTAGTCTCAACTCTCTTAACTCCTAAGGCATAAATTGTTCCTAATTGTTATTCAAATTAGATAAATCAATTTACCCCCCAAAGTTAACTCAATTTTTTTTGAATGCAAAATTAACTCAATTGATGTAGAGAAAGATGTAGATAGTACGAATTAGGGAGTTCCTATGAAGTGTATGAAGATGACATAATCAAGACTTTCACCACCGTTAGAAGGGGAGCCCGAGAAGTAATGTTTGTAATCTTATTTGGTGTCTAAGATTTTATATATATTTAAAATTATTAGTATGGTATTTGAACTATTTCTATTGTAACCTATATAAGTCTTGAACTTGATTGTTGAATTAAAAATTTATTGTGTTATTTAATACTTATATACCGAATTGTCGGACACATTTAATGGTAATTTATGGAACTACTAAATGGATTTCGTCGAATTGTCCTTGAAATTTTTCGGCGCGGCATGTCCATTAACAAAATCTAGAGAAGTGGAAGTTCTTGTTAGGTTGCTGTTGGTACCGAGATCTGCAAAGCGTCACAGTTATTTCAAACTTATATATATAGATATTTAGTTGATTCATGGGTGTTCTTATAGGGAAAGGTCTGATAATGTATCTTAACATAGCGTCTTTAGCTTACTGAACAAAGAAGCTATTTACTAATCTGAAGGCCAAGCAAAGCGCCTCAGTGGATAGTCTGTTTCCTAAGCAGAAGGCCGTAGGTTCGACCCCTACCTGGCGCGCATTTTGCCAGATTTTTTGTGCATTTTGCTTTTGTTTTTTGCATAGCTGATTTTTGGTGCATTTTGCTTTTGTTTTTTGCATAGCTCCGTTTCACAGTGGCCAGATTTTTGGTGCATTTTGCTTTTGTTTTTTGCATAGCTGATTTTTGGTGCATTTTGCTTTTGTTTTTTTTGCATAGCTCCGTTTCACAGTGGCGCGCATTTTGCTATATTTTTTGTGCATTTTGCTTTTGTTTTTTGCATAGCTGATATTTGGTGCATTTTGCTTTTGTTTTTTTGCAAAGCTCCGTTTCACAGTTTTTGGTTTACTTTCGGCTGTTCATATTTTGTTTTTTTAGCTTTGCATCTCTCCTGTCCATAGTCTCTGGTTAAAAAAGTCTAATTTTGGCTGTTTATATTTTTTTCTTTATTTTGCATCTCTCATATTCTCAGTTTGGTTAAAAAGTTTAATTTACCACGTCCAAGAGCGGAGCTAGGCCCCTTTGTCACCAACCCCAGTGAATTTTGCCAAAATCAATGAAAAAATACTGCTTTGCATTGTTGACAACACTAATGATCTCAACCTATAATAATGTTAAAGACCCCGACAATTCTTTCGGCTAGCTTCACCCCTCACCACGTCTTATTTGTCTACTAGGGACAACGAAGCTGTTCACAAACAATGTTTCTTCTTTACGAAAAAGAAAAAAAGTATTGCGTATTTTTAGTTTGCATCTCTCCTGTTCTCAGTTTAGTTCAAAAAGTTCAATTTACCACGTCTCATTTGTTAGGGACTACGAAGCTGTTCCCAAACAACGTTTCTATACCTAATAATAAAGAGACAAAATTTATCTCCACCTATTTTTTTTTGTCTAGTCATCTTTTAGCTAACTCCGTGAATGTGGAAACTGACCCTTCATCTATTACCGCCCTCCTGTTTTATATGATGTTCTTGTTTATATGACGAAGTGTAGGGCTTTTTAAGGTAATGTAAATAGCCAGGAATTCTAATCTGAATCAGAAATAGATTCCTCCGATTCTAGGTAACCTGGGTGCGTTTAGATGCAAAATTTTTTGGGTTTTGGCTACTGTAACATTTTCGTTTGTATTTGACAATTAGTGTCTAATTATAGACTAATTATGTTTGAAAGTTTCGTCTCGCGATTTCTCACCCAACTGTGCAATTAGTTTTTTTTCGTCTATATTTAGTACCCCATGCATGTGCCGCAAGATTCGATGTGATGGGTACTGCGCAAAATTTTTTAGGAACTAAACAGGCCCTGAATAAGAATCCTAAACCTAATCCAGATAGAAAAGAATAAGAAAAAAAATCTATACAGAGCATAATTTCTGGTATTGGATTTTGGTTCAGCCCCAATTACGCGTTCAGCACCAATACGGGCCTCGGCCACCCGTTGTTGCACGTCCGTACATGACTTTTCTCTATTTTTTCTTGCCTGTGTCCGTGTTTTTCGTTTACTTCGGACTTTCATAGCTTTTTGTTATGTGATTTTTTTTCTATACCTCGGCCCTGCCAAGGCACAACATGCATGCTGCTTGCTGCATGCGCTACGCCAAAACAGCAAAAAATGAGGACGAAAGTGTATGAGTCCAGGTGGTGGCATTCTGAGACGATGGCGTTGAGTCGTAACTCGCAAGTGGTGTGTGTGCGCCGGTGTGTGTCATACTACTGTGCAGTATATATAGTTTGTGTACATCTAGACTGGAGCGAGCGATACGGGTCTTTATCGTCCGCACGGAGCGTGATACGAGTTTTTATCGTCCGCACGAAGCGTCTTCAGTTTCCTCGGTCTGGTTCCGCTCGTACGTTCCTGATCGCTTATTAGCCCGATTCATTAGTTGTGGTATAATATTTTTTTTATAATAAATTAGCATTAGCCGGTTTTTTTCGTACATATAGGTATCTGTTCTCCCTATTCTCGCCAGAACGGTCGTTTCCCAGTACCTCCGTTGTGATTTTGTATTTTTTTTTTCTCAAAGCACCTTGGTTGTGATTTCTTATTTTCTAAGAAACGTGAAAAGCAACCAATAAATAAATGTAACACTAGACGTTGACCTTTTTCTAATCTCTAAGCAACAAAAGATTGCCACTATCAAGTTATCGATCGATGTACTTAAAATAATTAGAAATAAAATTTATTCTTATTAAAACTTACATCAACCAAAACAAGTAGAATAATATGAAAATTAATATTATGATATATTTATAAGTGTCGGGTATCG